CGTGGCAGGCGCAGCACTTTGTGAATCTCGATGTGCAGATTTCGTGGTAGGCGCAGCACTTTGTGAATCTCGATGTGCAGATTTCGTGGCAGGCCTCACGCCTGGTCCCTCTGGTTTTTCACATGCTTCCGCATCTGCTGCTCTCATCTGTGCGCTCGCACATTTGTGCTCTTGTCCGTCTCCTCTCATATTTGTGCTTTCATCTGTGTGCTCCTTCTTTCCTTCCACGTGATGCCATGTTCCATCTGTTCCTCTTTACACTATTTGGGGTCCCTTGCCGGTGTAATTTTTGAACAAGGCCTGCAACTGAAGCATCATCATCCACTGGGCCAAGGTAATAGGATAGACCCAAGTCATGTATGTGTCCTGGGAAATAAAGCCACCTATCTTGAGGAGGTGTTCATATGACTCACATGGATTTATATATTATAGTTTTAACTATATGATATATTATTTTTCATCGGTCTAATATCGATTTGGCTCTGGAAAATGTTCCCAATGTCTCACCGTAGAGTCTTAGTCTTCCGTTCGTAAGGTTTCGTTCCTTTGGGCTATTAGCCGGTATGTAATTGGTACATCCTCAGATCAGTTGGTGATTTATCCCCTTTCTTAAGGAGACATTGTTTTGTTCACCAATGGTCAAGAAGTGGGTGCAAGTGGTGTCAACAGTAAAGGTACATAAAGGTACTTTTTCTTTTTCACAGATTCAACTTCAGTTCACCTTCTTTGAACTAGTAGTTTGGGGTCGCCGACTTCCGGTTTCGCGCGGGCGGTTCCGCGGCACCCCTGTGACTGGCAGGTCCTGGACGTGCCACTGGGTCTGCGAGAGTTGCTCCGTTCGTCCTCGTTCCGTGCTTTCATAGCGCTTTACAGTACAGTAGCGCTCCAGTTCTGAACGCGGCAAGTTGACCAGTTCGGAAGCGCTTTCCGTGGTCAGCTTTGATAGAACTCACCCATGATATCATCGTATCATGATAATTACTATCCATCTACAATGTAGACTCTTGATTCACAAACCCCACCTCATATATGAAGAGGTGTTACATTCCTTTTTTTGGGGAGGGGGTTATGAATTTACTGGATTGAGAGTAAGTCGCACAAATTGCAAGATTCTTTGTTCAATACGTGGGACTGGTTCTTCCTGACTTATTTTTTCAGGTGAAGTTGAAAGCAGCAGTCAGTCAACGGATCTTCGAGGCCACCTGCTTTACAAGCTGACCCTCCCTCCGACCTCCGATGTGCGAAGGATAGGCCGAAGCCAAAGACCAAACTGAGTTGGACCCCAAAGAAGACTTCTAGAACCCGAATTCGCACGCCACGCGTGCGGACTACACATTGAAAAAAATGAGGATGTGCAGTTTTGCATGTGCCCAGGCCGTTTTTGCAAGGCACCTGGGACCTTAGAGCCTTAGATGTCTAAAACTGCAATCGATTGGTAGATAGATAGAGGTTTAAGGTCATTGATTCCGCATTTGCTCAAGAAACATCGCCCGCACCTGTACCAGAATGGACCAGTTCCACGTTGGTGGTGCCTTCATTTTCGATCAGGTCGAAGATGACTTTTAGTCCAGGCCCTCAGATGAGCGCCTGGCGCAGCGGTTGCACCTGCGCGCCCTTGGGCCCTCAGCAGTTGCTGGTGGTCGGTGGCTTTGATGGATCCAATCACTTGGATAGCACGGAGTTCCTTGGCCCGAGGTGGCTGTGGGTCTAAACCCTTCAAAACCCCACTAGTCCGTGGCAGCTTCGGTAGCTTGACCACTCTTCTAGTCAGTCAGTGAACTGCTCCTTTTGGGCTGCCATGACGGGTCCCTCGTGCCATGACGGGTCCCTCAGTGCCATGAGAGGACTCTCTCATCCGGAGAGGACTTCACTTGGCTAAGTGGTCATTCAATGTGAATGACCTTGTCGTGCACGACCACCGACACCGACCTTGGTTTTCTCACCGATCGCATCCCGGTGGATCGGTGCTCTTCCCATGCGGCAATGCCGCGTCGCCTGTCGACTGGATGAAGGTCTTCCAGGTGGTGCGGTTGAGGGTGGGGAGTGGATGGAGTGGGGAGCAGGTGAGACGAGCAAGTGGACGGGAGTGAAACCTATGGCTCCATCTCTCCAACTGAGGTTGCTGGATCTCAAGGACTCCCGTGCGGTTGTTACAAGCGAGAGTGTGCTTTTGTGTGTTGTGTTGTGTGCATGTGATGTGGTGGACGGTTGATTTCATAACTCCTAACACAACCTCAATCCAAATGCGAGGGTATGGCTTCAATGGCTTTATATAAATATATTGTATAGTTTTATTCAGCAATGGTCATTATATGTTTTGGGCCGGGGGCAGAAGCAGAAGTGGGTTGCCCTCCATGAAGCTGCTTTTTTAAAGCTTGGGCAAGATCTTCCCAGCTTCGCAACCACTTCTTTGTGAAAGCCTTGAGCCATCCAATCAAGATCCTGGAGAACCATAGTAGCCACATATTCACGCAAGGGGCACCCAAGTCCAACTTCGTCGGATGTATGCGAGGCACACTTCGCCAGTGGTCACGCGGTCATGTACCCGTCTAAAAGAGATTGCCACTGGGTGGTTCAACTTCACGGAACACCAAAGCCTAAGATCATTTTGTAGTGCACTTCTCAGGTGCTCAAAACCTTGGAGGTGCGAGTCCAAACCCAAAGGTAGGGGGGCCCCCCGGGAGTCACCGTCACCCCGTGTGGCTTGCAGATGCACTAGCGAGAAGTGACCCGACAGAGTAGAGACCGACCCGACCAGAAGGCGACGAAGCGACTGAGCAGTGCCACCGATTGGCCCTCCCTTGTGCCACCTATTGGCCTCCCAAAGGCAGCGCTTGACATTCCTGACTTTGATTGAATTTGACCCTGCACTGGAGCTGACATAGTGTCACCTTCCCCCCCCCCAGGGTATTTACTGTGGTGAATCAAAACCTAGGGAAGCATTGAGGAGAGGATGTTGATGTATTTTAGTGAAATAACCGTGTCAGAAAATAGGATGACAAGGTTGTGCGCACATGATGAAACAGTAGATTCTACTGTTCTTTGCGCCACCCATCAATACATCCACCAGTTCGTGCCGTGTTACATCTAGAAAATCGATGACCACTGAAATCAGATGCATGTGGGATCCGGAGGGCATCCTGCCAGGACATGTCCTTCACACAAGGGCCTCGATTAAGCACTTGGCGGAGTGGTTGCGCAGCCGCTCCCTGCTGAGGATGGCCTAATTCGGGAATTAGAGGTGAACTGCCGATGTAATGCCGAAGAAGTGGATGAAAAAGAGGAGCCTGCGAAAGGCCACGAGCCTGGCTCACAGGTGCTTTCTGTGAACAAGTTGTTTTTTTCAATGGTTTAGGCAGGCCAAACTTCCTCTTTTTAAAGGGTTTGTTGGCGCCATGCAACAGATGTAAATTCAAACACAAGCTGCGCTAGACTCCTCAGCAGTTAGGCAAACTGGTCGGTCGCTGCTGTCTACTTGCATGCCCTGAGCCAATTCTCGGCCCATCCTTTGGCCGGACGAGGTGCCAACAAGAAGACCCTCCTGGCGCCCACCGACGAAGCCTTCATGGCTTTAGGCACCGGCGTGGCCGCCAGCTTATTGCACCTCGGCTCCAATACAACCAGCGTTCGTTCGAAGCTGTACACGACGCGTTTGTTCCCAGACCGGAACCCATGGACGGACGGAACGTACGCGGAGGCGCTACAAGGTTGGTGCGAAACGCGCCGGAATGCTGGTGGCATCGGCTTTTGGGATGACGGACTCTCTGACGGACTTGGTGCTTTCGTTTGAAGCACTTGGGATGACGAACATGCGCGAGATGCAACAGATGCTTGACGCAATGCGTTTGGCAATCTGCCTAGGTTGGTCTCCAACTTGGAAGACTTAGCTTCTTGGGCCTTGGATCTTTGGAGTTTGGAGTTTGGATGAAGATGGTACTGGTATAGTCCTTTGCTGATGAATGAAACCTACAGTTTGGCAGATGTTTGACCGTTCTGGGTTCTGACTCTATGTTTGGTGGCGGTTGATTCATGAGTCAACAGCAATGCTTTATACCATGAGGAAGCCCAACCGGGATGGAGCGGCATTGTTTTGGGAGCTCTTTGGAACTTATCTAAACTTTGCTCAGAAGAATCCTTTGCCCTTGCTAGGGAGGCTGTGCATTTGCACTACGCCACCACGTTGTGTTCTTACGCTGAGGGTTGGCATAGCCTTGATGAGTTTCAATCAATATGATTACAGCTATATCACACACGGTCATCGGGCAGACAAGAACCTCAACCTCAGAGTTAAACGGCACTAGAAATGCTGTGCATGTTTTAGATGCACGCAGCCGCAGGACGGAACACATCATATAAGGTTTACAAGATGTTTGCAGTAGAAGCATGGAGGAGCAAATGGCTGCAAGTGTCGTCCCCCTTCTCCTCCTCATCATCACATCATCATCCACTGTTCGCATCGTTTTATATAGTCATTCTTTCTCTCGGGGGCAGGCAGGGGCCAAGACGGTCTAAGACATGTTCAGTGACATGTTCCACACAGCTCCAGCATCGCACCAAGTTGGCTTTGGTGGAGCTTCATATCTTTGAGGGTGCTCGGACTAGTGAGGCCTGGGCGCGAGCGCGCAGCTCTCGCGTCCGAAGTGGGTCAACTTGACGGTTCCAAAGGAAGGGCATCCTGGAGCTGGTGAAGGGCCTCCTGGAGGTGGTGACTCTTGATTGATAACCCCTCCCCAGTTGAATTGAACATCCTCTTCATATGGGGTGGGTTCTGAAATCAAGAGCCTACATGATGTATCATGATGTGCCATGTTTTCGCATCTACTGCCATTTTCTTCCATCTGGAGTTGATGAGTTGCTGCCAGAACTGACGGGGCACCCGAGTTAGAACCAATTGTAATATATTTGTAATTCAAGGTGCCACAATATACACATATATAGGGTGTAGCCCATTACCGGTAACAGTTGGTAAAAGATTCTCACTATGTTTGAGAAAGGCCTTTGTTAAGCATCATCACCCACTGTTACTAGTATATAATGGGATACACCCAATGCATATATGGTTGAATGGCCCCATAACTAAACACGAATCAGGTTTGACTCCCACCTAGCTTTGGGCTCGAACGGGTACATGCAGTGTACCTCCTGCAGCAAGTGGCGGCTGCTTGCGGGGAGGTGCACTGTGTGCTCGTCGCTGGATCGGCTCCGTGCGGCGGTCTTGAGCGATAGGTTGCCCGCTACTCTGGAGGCCGAAGCGAAGGCCACAAAAATCCTGGATTCGGCTTTCTACTCCGTGGCCCGCCTTTTCCCGGAGGTTGAGGAGGAGCCGGAAAAAGGAGAACATCCTCCCAAGGAGGCCAGAGGCAGCGAGGCATCGAAGGGAGAGGGTTCTCCCAAAGCAGGTGTCAGTGAGAAGGAGAAGAGTCCGGAGGAAGTGACTGAGGCCAAGACCGTCGAGAAGGAGGAGAAGACCAAGCCGGTGGAGTCTCCAGACAGCGAGAAGAAGAAGGATTTGCCCAGGAAGAGAGAGGAGGAGAAGCACGTGAAGCAGCGGTCAAGGACACCGCCTCGACAAAAGGAAAAAGACAAAAGGAGGAACAGTCGAAAAAACAGCCGAACAAGGTCAGTGAGTGGGTCCAGAACAAGGAGAAAGAAAAGGGAGGATCATTCCCCCCAGAGGAAGAAAGACAGAGGGGAGGAGGTCGCAGCTAGGCCAAGCAGCGGCATTCAGAGAGAGCCGTATCTACGTCCACGGCCCAGCCAACGTGAGGCAAGAGCTCCACGCACTCCAGATCATCCACCACCCAGAAGACCTTTGATCCCGCCGGCAACAGGCCGAGGAGTAGGTCAAGGTGCAGGCTGGAGGGGCCCGGTGCCGTATTCCAACCACCCACGGTGGAGTGAGGCAACCAATAAAGGTGTGACAAAGAGAGCCAAGCAAGAACTCTACGACCGGAAGCAGTCGAGGGGTCGTTGGTGAGGGGAGCAATGGCTCCCAAACTGAGGAGACCAGCGGCTGCGCCAGCCCGGGTGAGGCCGATGAGGAGGCCGGCCAGGGCTTCAGGAGAGGCTGAAGAGGAGAAGGCAGAACCCACTACAGAAGAGTATAATACCTTGGCATCGTTGACGCTTGAGAGATTGAAGTCCTTGGACATTGTAGAGCTTGGGGAGACTTCGTACTATGGAGGGCATGCCAAAATAGCAGGCAGGTTCCGGAGTTTGAGACCTTCGGAGGAGGAGGTTGAGTTCGAGTTGTGTGGCACCCTGACAGAGAGGGTCCTTGAGCGCTTTGGGGGAGGCAACTCAAGGGTTGTGATGGTGCACATCTGCAGCGCCGAGTGTCCGCAGTTGATGACCGGTGACACCTACTTCCACGCCCGAGGATACTGGGACACCGCGGTGGCCCCGAAACCATGGCACACGAATCTCATGCCCGCCAAGGGCACGGTTGAAGAGGAGGTGGATGAGCTGGCCGGGCTACGTGAGCTTGCGGAGGAGAGAGGAAAGGGGAGGGGAGGCGTGAAGCCTCCCAAGAAGGTGCCGCAAGAGGAGAAGGGCCGGTCGCCAGCAGGTGAAGGGGAGAAAAGAGGGAAAAAGAGGAAGAGGAAGGAGAGAGCAGCAGAGAAAGAATATGATGAGTTGTTGGCGAAGAAGGAGGAGCATGAGGAGCTGGAGCGAGGGCAGAAGTCGGCACGGGCCTTGTTCAGCTATACCTGTCTGGACCCCAACGTGCCGAGACGAAGGCGCCTCATGAAGAAGGCAAGGAGGGTTAGCAAGAAGAAGGACAAGAGAAGAAAGAAATCAGAGTCCGGAGATTCAGGTTCATCGAGCTCGTCATCAAGTGAGACCGACAAGGGATCTGAGGAGGAAGGTCCGCTTTTCGAAGAGACCAGGCGGATCAGAAGGCTCAGTGAGAAATGCCCGGGCGCTTTGACAGCCCAGGCACTGGACAATGTTCGGGAGCATCTTCTTTCTTCTCGAGGGGAGTTGCACAGCGTGTCACGTGAGCAACTTTCTCCATTGTTCTCGATGTACGCTTACCAACACCTCCAATCTCTCGCCAGTCCAGTGCTCTGGCAGGAGTTGGTCACTGTAGCCCAGGTCTCGGACCTGCTCCTTCGTCGGAAGGTGGCCGCTGCTCTCGACGTGCTCGTCCAACGTGCGAAGTCGCTAGAGGCGACCCTACGTGGTGGTCACTACTCCGTTTCGCGCCAGCTGGAATTAGTCAATGCAGAACAAATCCGCATCGCAGAGCCCGCGGAGCAAGTGGAGGCCGCGAGGAGTGCGCGGGATGAGTTCCGCAACCGCTCCATTGGCAATCGTCCTCACGGGATGACCCAACGCGGCGAAGGTGAATTTCAACCCAAAGGACGTGGCAAGCCTGTACCAACCTCAGAACCCGCATACAAGCCAAAAGGAGGAGACAAAGGGGAAGGAAAGGAAAAAGGAAAATGGGGAAAGAAGACCAAAGACGAAAGTTGAAGAGGGTTTCTGAGGAAGGAGGTACAGGCTTTGAAAGAAAAGAGAGGAGGCAGAAAGGGTTGAAGGAAGATGCGTCAATGGAATGCCAAAGGGAGGAAAGAAAGAGAGAGGCTGAAGAAGAGACTGTTGATAGGGCAATTGAGGAGATGCTAGCAGAGTGTCGCCAGAAAGCTTTTGAGGGCGATGGGACGCCTGATCACTATGACCTTGGGGGTGACTTGGGTGACAAAAGGAGGCAGCCAGTGTCGCCGGGCCAAGGATGGGAGACAACAGCAGCCTCCCAAGCTGATGCGAGGAGTAAGCAATCTGCAGGTATGGACCGCAGACAGCGCCGAGCGTTAGCTGAGGAGAAGCTGGGTGAAAGCACAGGGGAGGTCCTGAGATCCTCCCAGTTTGCATGTGACCTGCCGCCACGACTGGATTTGAAGCCAAGCCGGGGCGAGGATTTTTTGACAGAGCAGCCTACAACACGACTGGATTTGAACTTAAGCCGTGAAGAGGAGGCATCGCCAGAGCATTGTGGCCATAAGTCGTGGCAGATGACTTTGAAGAGCGCTTGCGCAAGAAAAGACAGCTTGTGGAGTGATTTGGGCCCCGCACTATCGAAGTCCCTGGAGGTGTTGTCAAAGACCACGCGTTGCGGGCAGTCCACGGAGGGGCTCTTTCCCCTTCCGCTTCCAGGGAGGATGGGATGGTGCGAGGTTGAGGATCCTTTACTGGAGGGACTTGTCAGAGGGTTGAACAGCTTGTATGGGGTTGAGGCATCCGGAGGAAAGAAGGTTACAAAGGCCCAGAGGAGGATCTTGGAACGGTTGAGGGGCTTGCTTAGGTCCAGCAGCTTACCCCGGGCGGTTCTCCCCACACTCACTTTTGGAGAGTTCTTCACCACAAAGGGCATCGATTATTCCGGTGAGGAGGTTCGAGTTGCAAGGTCATTCCAATGGAAGATGGTCGAAGCGGCTTTCCCAGAGGGGGTAGGGTCCCTGGACTTGTTGAGCTTTTGTGACGGAGGCACCCGATCCTATGTGTCCGAATTTGAGAGATTCCTCTTGCCGCCCCAGGATCAAAGCCTTGGGAAGACGCCGGCTACGATGGTCAGCCAAGAGCACTGGGCGGAGGTGTGCCTGGGATTGGTCAACCGGGGGGTTTGTGGTCTCATGAAAAAGGAGGAGCTTTACCATGTCAGTGGGCGTGCAGTCCTCAACGGACTTTTTGCTGTAGAGAAAGGGGAGAAAGCGGTGGACGAGAAGGGTAAAGAGTTCGAGGTCTGTAGACTAATCATGAACTTAGTGCCAACCAATGGTCTATGCCGAAATTTGGTGGGGGACACATCTACTTTACCTACGGTTACGGGGATGTCTGGAACAGTCTTAAGAGATGGCGAGCTTCTGTTGACTTCATCAGAGGACATAAGGTGTTTCTTTTACTTGTTCCGGACGCCACCAGAATGGCACCGGTTCATGGGGTTTGGAAGGGAGGTTCCGCCAGAGGGCCTCCCAGCCGGCTTCAAAGGCCACGGGTGGCACCTGGTCAGCAGGGTCTTGCCCATGGGGTTTATCAACTCCGTGGCAATTGCACAGCATGTGCACCGGCGGGTCATTCAGCAAGCTCTGGGAGGCGAGAGAAAGCTGGCAGGGAAGCAGCAGGAAATCCGTCGAGATCGACACCAGAGTTCCGCAGCCCATCAGTACCGTGTTTATCTTGACAACTATGACGAGCTGAACAAGGTGGACAAGCAGTTGGCGAAGACCCTGAACGGAACTCCTTCGGCCTGGACCCTGGCTGTGCGTGAGACGTATCAACAGTTGGGTTTGCCGCGTCACCCGAAGAAGGCAGTCACACAGGAGGTGCGAGCTGAAGTGCAAGGTGCATGGGTGGACGGTGAGCTGGGTCGAGCCACTCCGAAGTTGGAGAAGGTAGGCAGGTATGTCCAGCTTGCTTTGGAACTCTGTGTTGCTGGCAGGGCTTCGCAAAGGGAGTTCCAGGTTGTAGGAGGGGGCTTCGTCTACATTGCTATGTTTCGCAGACCTTTGTTGTCGGGGTTGAATGCAGTGTGGAAACAAGTGACCGACTTGGGCAAGTATGGACCGGTGGTTCGGAAGGCATTGCCGCAGGAAGTTATGCTTGAGTTGCTCCGCTTCGTTGTCCTATGCCCCTTGGCCTACATGGACTTCCGGCTAGCCACTTCGGAGCTGGTGACGGCCAGTGATGCTTCCACCACAGGTGGCGGCCTTTGCGTGTCCAGAGAACTTAGCCCGTTCGGAGTTAGTGCGTGTCAAGCTGAATGTCGCGGAGACGTTGTTGAGCCTGACGAGGTGGACCAAGTGCTTGTGGTGTCGCTTTTTGACGGCATTGGGGCCCTCAGGGTTGCACTGGATGCTCTGCGCGTGCCGGTAGGGGGGTATGTGTCGGTGGAGATTTCACCCGAGGCAAATCGTGTGGTGGAGTCGTTCTTCCCTGATGTGGTGTGCGTGGGGGACGTGGCCAGTGTCACAAGCGAGGACGTGTTGCAGTGGAGGTTGCGGTTTGCAAACGTTGGGCTTGTGTTGCTAGGCGCCGGACCGCCGTGTCAAGGTGTTTCCGGGTTGAACTCTGACCGAAAGGGAGCGTTGAGAGATGAGCGGTCTTGCTTGTTCCAGCATGTCCCCAGGGTGGAATCCTTACTGCGTGAGCACTTCAAATGGTGTCCTGTGCACAGGCTGGTAGAAAACGTGGCATCGATGGATGCGGACGATTGCCAGACTATGTCTTTAGCCTATGGCACTATGCCGTGGAGCATTGACGCTGGTGGGCTTAGCCTCGCGCGGCGACCACGCTTGTATTGGTGTAGTTGGGAGCCATTCAGACTTGAAGGTGCCACAGTCGTTGAAGGGAGGGAGGGTGCCCTCCCAGTCAGAGGCAAAGTGATCCTTGACGTGAAGGTGGACGAGCGTGACTTTCTGGAGGCTGGCTGGCGGAGGGTTCAACCTGAGGCCTCATTTCCCACTTTCACTACGTCCCGGCCTTCGGCTCTTCCGGGACGCCGCCCTGCAGGGTTGGCCCTCTGTCCCCCGGACGCGGTGGCTAGGTGGAAGGCTGACCTCCACCGTTTCCCTCCTTACCAATATCGGAAAGAGAACTGCGTCACAAATCAACGTGGTGAAGTGCGTGTGCCCTCAGTCGGCGAGAGAGAGGTGATCCTTGGGTTCCCACTGGGTTACACCCGTCGATGCCTGGTCAAAAGCATGGAGGGAAGCACAGCTCATAATGATTGTCGTTTGACGCTCCTCGGAAACAGTTGGTCGATCCCCGTGGTCGTGTACCTGTTGTACTGCCTCTTCAGGACGTTGGGGCTGTTGCCACAGTTGGACCTCGCCACGTTGGTTGAGCGGTTGACCCCTGGACGCGAGCAGCAGTTGTCCAGCCTGTTGATGAGGCCTCCGATGCGCCAGACTACGAAGGCCGGCAGCGAGCAAGTGGGTTTAGTTGGTCGCTTGATGGGACAAGTCTCTGTGAAGGGAGAAGACATTCTACTTCAGCTAGGATCTGATCTCCCAGCTCGCTATCATCGGTTGCGTGCGTCCGTGCCGAGCAAACTTTGGAGGTGGAAGGACGTTGCAGGTTGGCGCTGGACTGGCGATGCCGAACACATCAACGCACTGGAGCTGCGCGCGGTTAAGACGGCCATCATTTGGAGGTTGAAGGAGCTTGAAGAAAGTGAGTGTAGGTTCTTGCACTTGGTCGATTCGTTGGTTGTGTTGCATGCCTTGTCTAGGGGAGATCATCGAGCCGTAGGTTGAGGAGGACATTGTGTCGAATCGGAGCGCTTCAGTTGGCAGGTGGCTTAGTAGGAATTTGGGGTTACGTGGATACCCACCAGAACCCCGCTGATCGGCCCTCGCGCCGACCCCTTCGGAGGAAATGGGGAAAAAGCCACGAAAGTAATGGAAGGAAAAAGCCAACAGGAGCGCAAGAAGGTTCGAAACAAGCTGGGATCCCTCAAAGGACTTACAGTTCAGCCCCGTACAAGGCAACGCTACACCGAATGTCTCAACCGTTTCTTCGACTGGATGGCAGGGGAGGGCATGGTTCTCCCAAAGCAGCAAGCCCGCCTGGATGCATTGGTTTGTGATTACTTAGAGCATCTCTGGGCCTCTGGAGAAGGGAAGTCAATAGCTAACAATACTCTTGCTGCCCTACAGGACCAAAATCCTTCCCTCAAGAAAAAACTCCCCGGAAGCTGGAGGTTGCTCAAAGCATGGACCACTGTCGAAATCCCTAACCGAGCTCCACCTATGACCCTTCAGATTCTGGATGCCTTATGTGGATGGTCCATCTTTAAAGGATGCCCCGAATTTGGCTTGTCTCTGAGAATTGCCTTCTATGGTCTACTTCGCACCGGTGAGTTGCTGAGCCTGCGGGCAAGAGATGTTTTCATTCCCGGGCCCAAAGGGCCAGCCGTTCTTTCACTGGGGCTAACTAAGGGAGGAGCGCGCCAAGGCGCGGCGGAGAGTGTGACACTTCATGAACAGTCCATCCTCCCAGACCTCTGGAAATGGAAGCAAGCCAATTCTCCCTCAACTTTTTTAACCCTCAAGCCACATGCGTGGAGAGCTTTATTCACCAAAGCCATCGAGGCACTCAAATTGAATGACCTGCAATTCAGACCATACAGTTTGCGCAGAGGGGGCGCGACGTTCTGGTTTAACCAGCACGGTTCGTTCGATAAATTGCTCGTGCAAGGCCGGTGGGCCGCAGCACGTACTGCTAGAGTGTACCTCAACGACGGCCTCGCACAGTTGGCCGACATGTCTCTGTCTAATTCGTTTTTAATCCCATACGTGAATTTATACCGCAGGAGCCCAAACCTTGAGCCTGGACCCCCTCAAGGGGGGTCCAGATCAGGGGGACGTGGAGCCAGAGCCAAGAAGGGTAGAAAGGTTGAATTTTTTGCGCTTTTTCTGTCA